CATTTGATGAAGATTTTAGAATACATTTTGTTTTGCCTAGCTAAATAATATTTTTGGAAAATAGTCTATTGTAATTTTCACCTATTAAAACAGTGCACAGTTTGCAGGAAATCTGTAAGGTAGTCAAATGCTAATGTAGTAATCATCAAGACGAGAACTTAAGTTATTTCAAAGTAATTCTGAGAGTTACTTGCTTTTGCAAATAAATTTGTAGATATGCATTATAAAAAGTTGCGTTGTCATTTTTTTATGCTCAATTGTTGTTTTATTTTTTCTGTTCAACTTTGAGGATTATTCTGTAAGCTTTAATGAAAATGCTGAGCAAGTTTATTTTTGCCCACTGTTCTGGTGATTTATATATGTTATATTGTCAATCAGAAGTAAAACAGTGTAACTACTTATACAGAGTAAGTTGCTTCTCAGGCACCATCAGCACTGATTCTGACTTCTTGCTGGCTTTCCTGGCTGTGGTGTCTTCTTCCCCTTATTTTCCATTTCACTTTCATGCTCCCTGGCAAACATTTCTGTTAACTGTATACATCGTTTCCCACTCAATATAACTGGTAGCTGTGCTCTTCTAGTTCAGGAATGAGGGATGCATGCATGAGCTTGGTGTTTGGAGGTTAGTTACTGTTTTTCCTCTTAGTATCCACAACTCTAGTGGGGCACAAAAGAACCGTAACTTTTATTTATGGGTAGAATCAAAGCTTTGGATTTGTTTTTCCCCTTTGACTAAAAACCCTAATGTTATTATGTTGGCAATAGTGATCTTTATGATTAAGTCTGTACAGCCAATGTATTCTCTTACTCTGTCGGCATAATATACACTTCTAATGAAAATACTTGGGCGTGTATCTGCAGTGAAGAGCACCAGTACAATCCAAGAGCTACTCTAATATATGGGTCTGGGAGCTCCTTTCCCTTTCCTGGGTCCTTAATGTTTTCTTCACTTGCGCGCTCACTATAATGAGGTGGTTTTGCTTCATTTCTGTCTTGGAGACATGAAGTGCAATTTATTTTGACAAAATTCCACAGAAACTTGGTTTAGAGGACCATGGAGTTTATTTTCATGAGACTTTTGCCTGTGAATAAGCATCTTGTAAGTAAATTCACAATAGTATAAAGCTTATTTAAATATAAATTAAATTATTTAATATTTGCTATTAAAATTGGTCTTAGACAAGACTAGCTATAATTATTTTGATGCTATTGAAGTATATTCCTGAAGTGAAAGTCAGTGAATTGAATTGTTATAGTTTCTTTAGGAACCTACAAATCTCTTCATGAAGAGCTCACATTTAAAATTTATATGTAGTCAAAAATAAACTAATCTTAAGAATTTTCATCTAGTTTAAACTCTCCTTAAAATGTTGTAATTGCCAGAGGAAGTTCTAGGGTACCATTTCTCAACCTCCAGAGTGGTCCTGCTTTTTTTCTGTTACTTGTTGGGATTCCATGTAAGATTTCATTTGAAGAAAGGTTGACTTTATGAAAAGCTTGAAAATCACTAGGCACAGAGAGTACATGTGACTATACCAGTCTGTGCAAGTGAAACTAGATATACTCTTACAAGAAAGGAGACTCAGTAAGAACAGTGTTTGACCAAGCAGTAAACAATATTTACAGGTTTTGATTTGGTGATCTACCCAAGGATTGTTACTTAGTTGTGTTTAGAAGGTGGGGAAGGGGTCACTGGGTTGGAATAAGAGTCTGATACTGCCTACCGTAAGAGGTCAGTTCTCTCATTAGCCCTTCCCCCACACATCACCCACCATGCGTGGCTGGTTTTGATTTTGCTGGGGGTAATATGGGAGAGGAAAGGGTGTTATTCCCAACCTCAGGTTTGAATTTATCTGCTCACATTATTGCCTCTGCATCCCCCTCTTCCATAAAACGAGAGGTTAAATAAAAAGAATAAACTGGTATAGTATTCCTTTGTGTGACTTCACCACAACTTATCCATTTCCCCACTGAAAAGAGATGAAGATTATTTGCAAGTTTTTACTATAAAAAAAAACTAATGACTGGCATGTGTCCCTTGAGCACTTGTACTAGCATTTTCTGTAGTAGTTGCTTAGAAATAAGATTACTGGGTTATAGAGTATGCATCGCTTCCAGTTAATACTGCAAATGCATTATGCTAAAGATGTACTAATTTGCACTTCTACTAGAAATGTGTGAAAATCCCTGTTCCTCTGTCCCTCCCCGTCCTCAGTAACAGTAAATATTGTCAGACTTTAAGTTTGCCAGTCAGGTGAATGTGAAATAATATTTAATTTGCATTTCTGATTACATCTGAGATAAACGCCTTTTCCTGTATGAGCCATTTGAGTTTCCTCTTCTCTAAATCTTACCTGTTTTTCTTTTGGGTTGTCTTTTTCTCATTGATTCGTAGTTTGTTTTTTTTTATGTAGTCAGGATACTAGTCCTTTGTTACATGTGTTGCAAAACCTGGTCTTTATTTTGTTCTTTTATTTTGAGTATGGAGCCTTTTGTTACTTATCCATCTTTTTCTTTAGGGTTTGTGTTATTGTCTTGTTTAAGAAGTCATTGCCATCTCAAGTTCTGTAATCTCTATTTTCTTTCAGGAGTTTTAAAGTCATCTTTCCAAGCACATATGCTTAGGTTTTTCATTCATCCTGAATTTACTGTTTTATATGAAACAAGGAATCTAATATAATTTTGCCAACACCATTTCAGCCCTGCCTAATACCAATTTCCCATATATGTATGATCCATTTCTAGTTTCTAAATTCAGTTCTATTGTCTTTTTGTCTAACTATGCAAACATCACACCATTTTAATTGCTGTTGCCTCGTAAATGCTGATACCTGGCAGGCAGGCATTGTCTTCATCTTACGTGTCTAGTTCATTTTAATAAAAATACAATTAATAATCTACGTTCTGTAATTCTTAATAGCCTGCATCTATTTGAGGACCTAATATTGAAAATTATTCACGCTACCTATGAAAATCACTTTGTTCCCATTTCACATTGACATTTTAAACTGTAGTGTAGTATCACACCCATCACTGTGATCCCCTTTCTTCCCCTGTAAGGTTGGACGAGTAAGAGTGCCCTGCAATGCTATGTTGCGCTTAAGGCAATAGGAAAATTAAGCAACAATAATTGTCTTTTGAAATTTTTTGGTATTTTGTGCATCATGGTTGTTGTGTTCACTTTGATTCTTTTAAATGTTGCATTAAAATATTTCTCTTGATCACTGAACTTTTTTGGCACCCCTTAAATTTTGTCTCCAAGGTGAGTGCCTCACTTGTATCACCCTGGTCCCAAGTGATAAGTATGTTAATTCCTGGGCCTTGGAAGTGACTGTCTCTAGACTCTTTCCCTGATTGAAGGCAGATGTTTCCATTGAGGAATAACTCTTCCCTATTAGTTCCCTTTAGCATAAATCAGTTTTTTCTGGAACACTTAGAGGAATGGAGGAAAGACTGGGCTAAGAAGAGAATCTGGTGCTCCTGCAGCAGCTCGTTGCTACTGGCTTTGCTTCCTTGGGCAGTGAGCCATCTTTTAATACTCTGAAAACATAATGCTGAGGGAAACAGCAAGTTCCAAAAGAATGTCGTTTATGTAAAAGCTTAAATCTCCAAAGTTTATTTCAAAATGAATTTTCATCTTTGAAATTGAGAAGCATCTTAGATCATGACATCTTACAATTGCACCAACTTGGTCATAGCTGTTCATATTTTGATTCCATAGTTGGGTTTTGTTAAAGTCAAAGTCTGAAAAACCTATCACAATAAGTATAAAATAATCCTAAATATTATTAAGGCATTATTTCATAGCACATTTCTTAATCATACATAAAGGAATGGTACATAAAATAATGGAAACTTAGAGTTGATGGACTATGATGTGTATAATTTATAGGCACCTAGTATGTATAAAACATGCATGGGAAAATGACACATTAATTTAGGACAGTAGTTCTTCAGAAGCATTGGAAAGAGTTTTTTTTAATATTCCTTCAAAAGTAAAATTATAAAAATATTAACGTCTGTTAAATCTGAGTAGTAGGTAAGATTGTCCTATATTTTCTAATTTTCTGTATGTTTGGATTTTTAATAAACTTTTGAATTAAATATAAAATGCAGAAACTAAGTGAATTCAGTGGTCCTGGCTTGCCTTCCAGGAATGGTACCAATTTATAATCCCAGTAGTATATAAAAATACTCATATCTTCTGCTCTTTTGGCAGTATTGCACATTGCCAATCTGGTGGGTAAAATATTGTAATTTACGGTATTTTCTTGATTCTCAGTTATTTGGTTACTAATGAGATTGAACTTTCTCTTTTTTTTCTCTTTTTTTGCTAATTAAATGTCTTTTATTAAAGCCTGTTCATATATGTTGCTTATTTTCTGTTATCACATTGGTCATTTTTCTTACTGATTTGTGAGAGCTCTTTATATATTTAGGAAATTAGCCATTATTCTGTTACATGTTACAAATTATTTTCCTGAGTTCACCAGTTGCCTTTTAATGCTCTTTGTTTAAATAAGAATGTCAAAGAATGAATGGGACTAAACAAAACACATTTAACAATAACTGAAACGTCCTAATTCCCGAAGAGCTACAAGCTCAATGGTGTAGGTTCTCCCCCCGTGCCTCCCCTCCCCCCAATCTTATATCATGCTACTCTATTTCTGTGTTTTTTCTTACACGGTAACTTTGTTTCTGTGCCGGCTTTTCCTATAGGCAGAGTAAAGGCTTTCTAATCACTGATAGTAGAGGCACTAGAGGGAGCTATGATGCTCTGATCTGAAGAGTATTAGGTCAAAAATACTCCCTTTTATTCTCCATATACTGTTTTAAGTCAAGTATAGTGGAGTTTATTTTTTGTTTTACCTTTTTAGAAAGTTAAATTTATGTCAAGTAAACTTGCAAAGATCTTAGGTGTTCAATTTGATGAGTTTTGAGAAGTGTCTTTTGGTTTCATGCATTCAATAGTTTTAGAATTTTATCATTTTCTTTAACAGTTTGAACCTTCAATTGTATACTTAGACGGTCTTTTCACATTCTGAGTAAGTATTTACATATATTTTATGACTTTTGGCCTTTTTATTATAAATATATAATACAAATGGAACTTATTTGGGATATTACTACAAGGCAAAAATCATGTAATATTTCCCACTATTCTCTCACAGTAGCTAACACATAAGCCAGTCTTAAAATTTATTTGAAAATGCCCTTTTACTGCATATTCTTGTATATGTTTGTATTTTATGGGCATTCTGTTTCATTACTTTATACTATGTATCTGTATTTCATCTTTATTATCATAGTTTTATTATATATTTTATTATCTGGTAAGGAGAGTGCTCCCTTAATAACTTAGTTAAACAAAAATTGAATGTTTATTCTTCCAGATTAACTTTTGAATAATTTGGCCAAGATTTCCCTGCCAGATAAAAGTCCTGTTGATTTTGTTTTGTTGTATATGTACATTAATTTGGAAGTCATTGGTATCTTTAGCAAAGATAATTTCCATTCCAGGAAAATGCTACATCTTTCTATTTATGCAAGTGTTTGTTTTTTGTAATACCCCCAGTAAAGTTTTATCTTTTTCTCCATATATTCTATGCATTTCTTAATTAAATCCTTATTTTATATTTCTTACTGTGTTGTGAAGTAACTAGTTTTGTTCCAATATATTTTGAATTCATACCTTTTTAGTAGACAACGGACTTAATCACTTACAAAAATCATTTCAATTTCTATCATTTCCACCAGATGGCAGTCTTGGGCACGTCCACTTGTAAACCTGCTGAGCGCTCTGGTGACAAGAAAGGCAGTGGCTGGCAGACCTTACAAGGCCATTAAAGTACAAGAACAAAAAGGTTTTTGTAAATCTGAAATAAAAACGAACCCCACATTATGTAATTGTAGGATTTATACTGCTATTAACCTTTAACCTTATAGGCCATTAGTGGAGGCAGAGAACTGTCACTGCACTCTTCAAAATCCTGTTTTCCTCTGTCCATGTGAAAAATACCTGTGGCTTCTTGGCAGCACTTCTGCTTTTATTCCAGGGACTTTCATGGTTAAAGGCAGGCTTTAATCTGTCACTGTTGTTTCCCTTCTCCTAAAGGCATTATTTAAATCACAAGTTACTGGGTTTCTAAATGTTTGTGTAAGAGTAGCTTGTGACTGTGGCTTTTATGATGCCCAGATCTCTTCTGAAATATGAAGTACAGTGTTTATAGTTAATAGAAAGGGAGATAGGTTTGTTACTGGCTTGTTTTACATGAATGCAAATCTTAATAACTCCCTTAAATTAGATAGTTTTTAGCTTCACCTTGATGACTTCAGAGCCCTATGTTTAGGAATATAGAAGGCAATGAATTTCTTCATCAGAAAAGGAATCAGCTCAGGTGTTTTCTCATGGATACTTGTCCCAGTTGCCAAAAGAGAGTACTTTTGGACAACCATACACCACCTAGGTAAGCTCCCCTTTTGTACCTTTTATTGCAATTCCATTTGCTAATTTATATGATCAGGGAGTGGTAAGTGACTGTGATTTGGCAGTAATTATGTCCATTCCCTTTCTGAGAGATTTTATTTCCACTCTGAGATTGAAAGGTGTGAGAAAGTATAGGAAGAACAAAGGGAACACATTTGGTCCTTGAGCACAAAGGTGTGCCAAGGTTGACTTGCTTTTCCAAAGAAAATTAAATATTCTAGGAGGTAACAGAAAATTTTACAGACACTAGGTAAGTTCTTTTAGGGAAGATCATGGGAAAGTTTCCCTTTTCAATCCCTGATAATTCTAGGATATAGTTATGTGGAATAGCTAGTTTCTTTTGTGTATTGCATGGATTCATGTTTTGTGTAATTGCTGAGAATGAATGTTGAAACGGACTTAAGGGAATCTCAGCTATGCAGTAGTTATGCCTAGAGCTTTCACGTAGCGTGCTAAGACATACCTTTAATAAGGCAGAATCAAAATTGGTTAGAATTAGGTTTATGTCACACATTTCCATATAGTTAATGGGTAGCCTAAATTATATAAAGAAAGCCATAAATTAAATACACCTGGAAGATTGGCTATGTAAAATTATCTTTGAAAAGGAAGGAATTCTAATAACCCATGATTATGTGTGTGTGTGTGTGTGTTATTTTTAGGGCTTTTGGCTTTTCAGGATGGGACACGTGAATCTGGCAGTTAAGACAGTAGTCTTTATTACAGTGTAACAGTGTATGCACTGCACTAGTCAGTTGTCTTTTAGCATCAAAAGTTTACACGTCAATGCCAACTGCTTTAACACTAGGAGAAATTGCACATCAGAAAGACACACACACACACACACACACACACACACAAATGCCAACTTGAGAGATAGAGTGACCAATAAAGCAAACTGAATGATCTGTAGATTTACATCCTCAAAATCTTTAACATAGTAGTTCTGAAGAATTGTCATTTGTGTGTTCTTCAAAGAGAGTAATAAATTTTATAGCTGGATAGATCTTTAAATATGTATTTATGAAATCTCAAAGTAGGAAAATCCCCAAGTGCCAGATGGTTCTTTAGCAGCTCTGATCCGATTCACCAGGGACAAGATCGACTTCTATTTGGGGGCAGCTCTGCCTGTCCTGGTTCATTCTCTGTATCTTCCCGTCACTTGTCTTATTAACCCTTTGGGGCCAAACATTTAAGCACCGGTGATACGGTGACTCCCAGCAACTTCTCTTTTTTCCCTAGTTATTTCCCTCATATATCCTGGCTTCCATTGTCTTTACCATCCAAACCCCAAAGGCTTTTGTTTTTTCTCTATCTTCCTTAAGCTATATAATCAAGAACTGATCATTTATAGGTAGCAGAACTGTTGTCCTTTGTTCTTGTTAATACTCTTGTTTTTCTATTTAACACCCAAATGTTGAGCCAGCTCTTCTGACACCCACATGATACTGGTGAACTGAGATTACTTGTCTTGAGTTATACTTACCAGTGAGATACTGATTAAGTTGAGATTAATTATCTTTACTGCTGTTAAGTAGTCTTTCTCCTGCACTTGTGCAGTTAGTGTTTTATTTAACCTGCTTTGCAGGACCTTTATTTATTGTAAATTTTCTTGTGTTAAATTTATTAACCTTTTGAAATGTCTTTGGATTCGTCTGAAATACATATGCTATGTTATTCTTTGCGGTCACTTCAAAATTTGATATGTAAACATTCACTATTGAATGAAACAAGTTTGAAGGCAGCAGCCTGTGAAACTTCTCTTTGGTATGATACAAGTTGGCCAGTCTATCAGTCAACACCTGTTAGGTAAGAATTCAGCATTTTACTGATGCATCTGTCAGCCCATTTCTCTCCGCGTTTGTCTATCAGGATGTCATGGGATCTTACATTCCTTGCTGAAGTCCTGCGTTTTCCAAGTGTTAATCAAGTAACTGTCCCCAGAAGTTCTTGAAATTAAGTCAAACCTGCTGATACATAGTGAACAACGTTCTCTTTCCAAAAGGTTTAAAAACATCATTATAATAAGGATCTACTAGGGCCTTTCCTGGGATCAGTATCAATTTGTTGCCATCTTTCATGTGTTCCAAACACTGGGATGACATCCTTTCTGATGTGGCCTCTCCACACTTCGTTATAACTACAGTCGGCCAGAAGTAGTCTTAGATTTTCAGTATCATTTTCTTGTTTTCCATTACCGTAAAATAGGAGATAAAGTTCTTACTGGCCCTATCACTTGTGTATAAGTCAACTTTTTTAGAGGTTTCAGTGTGACCCTGTTCCCTTAGGTCCTTGCACATCTAGGTGTTTATTTGTGCTTATGATGTTTCTTGCATCATTTATGTGTTTTTGAGATTCTGAACTTGTTACATTTCTTTGTAAACTGGTAGTTTCTTCTTTTCGTTTTGTGGTGGTGGTTTATTCTTTTTAGGTACATCTCCCTTTTTATTCTGTATGTATGTGATTCTTCAATTTAAAAAAAAATTTTTTTAAATAGCCCCAATGCATTTAAGCAAAAAAATCAAAACTACAACTTGTTCCACAGCCTGAGGCGAAGTGCAGCACGTAGACTGGACAGAACAGAGCAGTGCCACATCCAAAGGGTGCTTCTCACGTCACAGACACGGGGGACTTAACTGTACAACTTTCTAGCAAGTGGCAGGAAGGTGGTCTTACTAATAGTATAGTTGTATCTGCAACAAGTATCTGTCAGGTGGAAGTAAAGTGACTGGAAAAAGGAATCTTTCTGGAGAGTTTTGGGGTTTTTTTGCTTTTTGGCTTTTTACCGAAGATACCACATGGGCTAGCAGTGGCCCTGGAGTGTAGCACTTGTTCTGCAGAAGGAGTAAGTGTAGCTTCTCTCTTTACATCCTTCCCTACCTGTATTACATCTTCTTCCCCTTAAAAAGTGAGGAAGAGTTGCACTGCAGTAGTGTGGCAGAGGAACTGAGCAGCATGTAGGCGATTGTACAGGACTGGCTTTGTATTTCTAGCCTTGAGTTGGAAAAGCCTCTCTGTGACACACTTTGGGTGCCCTTTTATCTCTTGTTTTCTTGACTTTCTTGATTGCCAAGGCTCCAAAAATAGCACGTAAGAAAGAAAGAATGGAAAGGAAGAAAATACCCCAGATGTAGACAGCTTCATAATTTTCTGCAGATAGATGAATTATATATCATGTATATATAGGTAGTACATTTCTTGGCACACATTTCTGTATACATGCTGTATTTCAATAAAAATATTTTTAAGAAAGAACCTTGGCTGATACAGTAAACTTCATATATATTTTATTCATATGAAGATTTTGTCTGTTAATGGAACACATGAAAATAGTTGAATAGTTGTGGCAGGTATGCTTTAGGTTGTATGAACTAAAATGTAGACTATGTGTTTTGTGAAAAATTCACTTTCAGGGAGGTGGGAGGCAGAGGAGAACCTTAAAAAGATGGGCAGCATTTTAATCAGGGTAAGCTGAACTGTTACAACACGCAGAACTAAACCTGTAACAGTTCAAACAATAGAAGTTTATTTCTTGCTCATGTATATAGACCGAGGTGGGTGTTCCAGGTAAGTTGTGCTTCTGTCTTTCATTGGTGATTCAGGTATGAAGCTTTTTCTGTTTGTGGCTTTATCATCACTTCGTTATCTGTATCCAATTAGCAGAAGGGGAAAGTAGGCAAGGAAAAGACACCCCTGCTTCTTAAAAGTCTCACTAAATTTAAGGGGCATTGAAATCATACAAGGCATATTCTCTGACCACAGTGGAATTAGCGTAGACATCAGTAACAGAAAGATAAGAACAACATACTTAAATAATCCATGTGTCAAAAAATAAACTACAAGAGAAATTAGAAAATATCTTGACTAGAATAAAAATGAAAATCCCAGCATATCAAGATTTGTGGACCAAAGCTAAGGCAGTATTTAGAGGGAAATTTATAGCTTTAAACGTACATTAGGAAGAATATAAGTTCTCAATTTTCAAATTTAAGAAACTGCAAGTGCAGGGAAAGAAGGAAACAAGAATAAAAGAAATCAGTGAACTAGAAAACAAAGAAAAATCAAATCAGAAGTTGGCTCTTTGAAAATATCAGTAAAGTTGATAAACTTCTAACCAGACTGATCAGGAAAGAAAGACATTATCAGTATCAGAAATGAAAGGGGAGATAGCACAGATCCTATAGACTTTTTTTTTAATGAAAGGAATATTATGAAGTATTTTCTGCCAATGAAATTGACACCTGAGAGGAAATATTTGAAAATAAATCAGTGTAATTCCACACTGGAGTAAAGAAGAAAAACCATATCATCTCATCACATTCAGAAAAAAAAAAAGGCAAAATTCAAGACCCATTCATGGTAGAAATTCTCTGCAACCTACAAATAAAAGGGAACTTGCTCAACCTGTTAAAAGGTGACTATGTAATACCTCATCCTAATACCATACTTAATGGTAGAAGACTGAATACTTTCCCTCTAATAAACCGAAAATACACTTGTATTCAATGTTGACTGGAGGTTTTAGCCAATGCAACAAGACAAAAAATAAAAAGCATCCAAATTGGTAAGACACAAAACTGTTTCTTTGCAGATGATTTGATTGTGTAAATAGAAAGTGAAAAGGAACTATAATATACTACAACTCTAATTAGCAAGGTCACAGGATACAACTTCAATGTACCAAAATATTTATATTTATATATACTAGAAACAATTGGAAATTGAAATGAAAAAAAATCAATAACATTTACAATAGCATCAAAAACCTTGAAACAATTGGAGCTAAATTTGATGAAGTATGTCCAAGACCTGAACGTGGGAAACTACAAACCATTTTGAGGGAAACTGAAGAAGACCTAAAAAATGGAGATACGATGTTCTTGAATGAAAGATTTAATATGGTTAAGATGTCAGTTATCCCCAAATTGATTTAAAGATTAAATGAAACCCTAATCACAATGCTTAGCAGCCAATTTTTTGGATAGAATTTGACGAACTGATTGTAAAATTTATAAATACAATTGGACCTTGAATAGTCAAAACAACTGATAAAGTAGGATTAAATTAAGGGATGTGTATTACCTGGTTGCAAGAATTACTGTAAAGGTACAGTAATTTAGATAACATGTTTTTGACGTCAGGCTATATATATACATATGCATACACACACATATCAGAGGAACACAGTAGAGATTCCAGAAATAGACTATGTAACACTTATATGGTCAGTTGATTTTTTACAAAGCTGACACAGTAATTCGATAGGAGAAAGGAAAGTTTCTTCAACAAATGGTTCTGGAACAAACACATAGCTATATTAAAAAAAATTAACCTTTATCCCCTATCTCATGTCACACAAAAACTAATTTGGAACAAATCACAGACTTAACTGTAAGAGCTAAGACTAAAATTTCGAGATGAAGACATTGGAGGAATCTCGGTTAGGCAAAGCTCAGGTAAGAATAACTTCTACTCTACTAGAGAGAGAAAGACACTGTTAAGAAAATGGAAAGGCAAGCCTTAGGCAAGACGTATCTTATTAAGGACTAGTGTTTATAACAGATAAATTTTTTAAATAGGTATAATATTGAAAAACTGAGCATTTCACCAAAGAAAACACACAAATGGCAAATACACCACTGTTCCAAGGTATTAATCATTAAGGAAGCGCAAATTGTACTATCACCACAACTCACTGGAAGGACCAGAGTTATGAAGACTGGCGTTGCAGACAGTCAGTGAGAGTGCGGAGCAAACGGAGCTCTCACACATCGCTCACGGGGAGGTAGAAGTCCAACCATGTTAGAAAACAGTTTGGCAATGTCTTACAAACTGAAACATTACACTAGTCTTATGGCCTAGCAATTCCACTCGGTATTTCACCCAAGAGAAATGGAAACATACGTCTACACAAAAATCTACATGAATGTTTATAAAAGCTTTTTTAATAATAGCCCAAAATTGAAAACACCTCAAAAGTTCACCAGCTGGTGAGAGGATAAACCACATCCATTTAACGAATACGAAGTAGCAATGAAAAGGGCGAACTACTAATTCATGCAACCACATGGGTAAATTACAGAAACATGCTAAGTGAAAGAAGACGGACCCCAAAGACTTCATACTCAATGATTTGATTTATCTGAAATCGGAGAAAAGGCAGGATTTAGTGACAGCAGATGGGCTGTTGCCAGGTGTAGGGGGAGGGGACTGACTAGTAAGGAGCAGCAGGCGGCTTCCGGGAGTGACGGGATTGTGCTGTATTGCGATGGCGGTGGTGACTACGTGAGCATGCACTTGTCAGGACTCATCCAAGCATACACCTAGTTTGTGTTTTATACCTCATTAGTCTGACTGAAAGGAAGAAAGAATATAAAGAATAAAAATGTGTTAATGTAGATCTGGGCTTGGCTGTAACATTCTTTCACATCTGTTTTATATTTAATAATTTTCATTTTAACGTATTTCAAAAGATACAAATGAGGTAAAACTCACAAGAAAAGTTACTTTTCACATGTGCTGCTCTGGTAAGTACCACCAGGGATTTACTATTTATGTACTTATTTAGTAGTTATCTATATGAATGTATTTATTATTTGATTGATTAATGCTTTTCTTGAGTAGTTGCTGGGATGATGGGGTTGGATGAGGAGGAAGTTTTGCTATGTAATCTTTAAATGGACTGAATTATATGATATTGATGGCTATAAACCAATCAAGGTCACTTTAGGTATATAATCCCATCTGCTACCCTCTCCTGACAGTCAGGAAGACTTACTAATAAACCATAACTTTAAAATTTTCTAAGAGTAATTTAAATTTTTTTTTGAAATTCAGCTATAGAAGATGCCCATAGTTGAGCTTCTGTCTTCAAGAGCCAGTTTTGTAATTTTTTAGAAATGTCTCTTTTGCATGGCATCCTTCTAATGCAACATTCCCAAAACCAAAAACAATTTCATTCACTACTTATAAGGAGTAGAGTGCTTCCATTTTAATTATGACTTTCGTTTTGAAGTTTCCTCAAGCTTACGAAAGTGGAATTCTACCTTTTAAGCAAAGGCTGTTGTCTTTCTGGTACAAAAGTATATAGGCTTAGCATAGCATCCTTTGAGGCTTTTGGAGTGATAACTTTTTTAATAATAATAATAATCTCTTAACATATTTAGTTATTGCTCTTTATTCTGTAGGTCAAGGGTCAACACACTTTGTAAAAGGCCAGAGAGTAAATGGTTTAGGCTTTGGGGACCACATTGGTCTGTCTCTCATCTCTTCTACTGTGGCGAGCAGCCCCAGATATAAACAAGTGAAAGTAGATGTGTTAGAGCCAAGCTTTATTTACAAAAACGTGTGTTGGGCTGGATTTGACCTGGGACAGAGTTTGGTGACCCTGGCTGGACCCCCCAAAGTAAAACCACTGCTTGTTGTGACAAAATGTTTGTATACTCGAATAGCATATTTGTATACTCAACTAACATAGGCACATCTATGAAGAAAATGAATAATGATAACGGCAGGGTTCAGGACATGCTACCCCAAAACATGGCACCTGGGCATGTTGCATACTCCAAGCTGTAGGAATCTGAGAAATGACGGGTGCACGAAGGGCCTTCTGTCTTTCCTCTGAAGCAGTTCATAAAACCCTCCTTATACCAGGAGGAAAGAAGCATCCTTATCTCTGAAGACAAAGGGGCTCAGGAATCTGAATGAAGTTTAGCTTTGCTGATTTTCCCAGTTTACTACCCTTGCCTCACACCCTCTGTCCTAGTCTATCTTTCCACTCTTCAGCAAACTTAGCATGGAAACACTCAGGCTTGATCGTTTCCTCCTGTTTTCATTTCCTTATGAAGGTCCCATATCACATAAAGCTTTAACAATTTTTTTTTTCTTGTTAATCTATCTTTCGTTACAGGGGTCTCAACCGAGAGCTTAAAAGGGTGGAGGAAAAAGGTATTTTCCCTGCCCTGCAATAATAAAGTGTTCATCAGGAAAGTTCCATATCAGAAAATCAGGGTCTGCATATTCTATGACTGTGATTAACTGTGTGCAAAACTCTCTCACTTCTAGAAAATACAAAGATATTTGTCCAACATAGCTTACAAACTATTTAATGTATTTGATTATGACTTTGCCTGATAAAGCATGCTTTAGTTACGAATGTAAAATTCAGAGAGCAGGTTTTACTTTTGTTTCCCCTTCTACAAGATTATACTTTTTAATATTTAGCAAGTAGCTGAAGATGACCACTATTTTTGTTAAAACATGCCAGCAAATCAAATTCACTCCTATTGAAGGTTTAGTTCCACAATTTTTCACCCTTGGTGGTAAGGAGTAGATAAGGACGTGACTAACACTGATGACCAGAACTTGAATACAGTTTGTGGTGCTTCCTATATTTAGATCATTCCCCCCCAGTTTAAAGCGGAGTTACTAATTAAGGATTAGCCAGTGATCAATTATGATTCATGTAGAGGTACTATTATTAAACAGAACTTGGAAGAACTAAGAGTCCTTGTCCTCATGGTCTTACCGTTCAAATTAAACAAATAGACATTTAAGTGTGGAAATAGAGGAGATAGAACCAAAAAGGATATGATGGTAGATATTATTATCCTCTACTTCTCTTCAGTGTTTACTATCAAAGAGAACTAATATTTGTTAGTTTTAGTTTTAGAACCAATACTTATTACAACTAGTATTTATGCCTTACTTAGTGAGAGAACATCCTAGTTGCATCTTGGGATAATGGAGGATAGACAAATTACCTGTAAGTGCATCATTCTTGTTTTGTGAAGAATCTTTAGAGAAAAGAAGTTCCCTTTAGTTCTGTAGATGCAGTAAGTAGACTCCATTGTCCTGATACTTAATACTAGTGGTTATTAATATATTTATAATGTTAACAATAGCAACTTTCATCAATGACTCTAAGGCCTCACTTTGCAAAGCTCTTTGCTGGGGAGGAAGCTGACCAGCCTTTACAAGAG